TAACGCTGTCAGAAGCATGGCAAAACCGCACAAAATGGCGATACGAGATTCGAATAATGGTGCGGAAGGCAACACCCAGCAACAAATATTCTATTTGTACTCTTCGAGTAACAGTAATCAATGTGAACAATCAAGCGCTGCGATTCGACGCTCCACTCTACACGGTAGATGTTCCAGAAGACACCCCACCACTCACCGTCATTTACAGGGTTACTGCAAACAATCAGGTACTATTTTGAAACAGTCCTTAAAAGGGTTAACAGCTTTGTCAAGATGATTGTTTGAAGCCAAAAATGAAAGTTTAGTTGTCGCCAACGGAGGCTGTTCTCAAAAATTGTTTCGAACCGGAAGAGAATCTCTTCTGCGCATCTGGACGCATCGTGTTACTACTACACTACCGGTCCCTGTGTTCCAGATTCAGCCTGGCAGCAAAATTTACTGTGTCTACTTTTCAAGGCAAAACACACTCTTCTTTTCATTATTTCTTCTTTTTGGTGGCTTTTTCGCCGGCTTTTCGTGGGTTTCCTGCGACAATAATTGCCATTCCCCTCATCGCTTACATACATAGTGGTCATAATTTTAGATGAATATTAAGCTTATTTTCACAGTTCCGAATTCAGGGTCGAGGGGACAGCAGTACTATTTTGTACCGGATCGACGGTCCTCCTAGGAGGCAGTTATTTATGGTGAAAGAAAATACCGGAGAGATATTGCTACGTTCGAAGCTTGATCGTGAAACTCATGCTGACCACAGGATAACAATCATCGCCACAGACGCTCGGATACCAGGACGCAGTTCCTCAACTCTTCTTCTCATTAACGTCATAGTTCGTAAAATTTTCATTCAAAAAATTTCACTTTTTATTAAAATTCCATTTTGACGTTGTGATAAAATTTTAGAAGTTCCATTTCACCAACTTTTTTGGAATTTTACACGAAAATTAGCATTTTTTGATTGAAAAAAAGCAAAAAATCCTCATGTGCTTTTGACTCGTTATTTTTTACAACTTTTTGCGATTTTTAAAATTTTTGGACTCCCACGACAAATTTTTTCAGCTCCTTACTCTGCAAGAAAAATAGAAATGCGCGCTTCTCTTCCAGTTAACCAGATGTGGCACCAAGTTTTTCAGTGTGATAGTGGCAAAAAAAAGCCGCGGAAATCGTTTCTCAAAATATCGTTCATGTTCATAGTGAACTTTTCAGATCTGAGCTTAACGTATCTTATTTTGGCTGTAATTGGGTATCAGAATCATAGAGTACATATAATTAAATGTCATTGGCATTTACCACTGTTTTGCATTATCTCATAAAATTCTACTCCAGGATGTGAACGACAATGAGCCTTACTTTGGCCAGCTTGAATATCACGGATATATTATACGTGGTTATCCACCTGGTACTAAACTAATTCAAGTTAAAGCATATGACGACGATGGCCCTCGGTATTCCAAACTTTCATATCTGTTATATCAC